TGGATCAGTTGACCCTCCTCCTGGCCAACCTTCACCATAACGACGATGCTCATAGGAACACTCATCACCATTGCGACACCTTCCCCGATTGAAGAACTTGCACAGCTTGCTGTAACCAGGTGACAACACAGTCTTTGGTGTCATGTAAGCCTTTTTGTACTGGTCAGGGTCCATGTAGGCTTCCATTGGCTTGTTCTCCCTTTTGCTCATGGATTGCACTGCACCATCAAGCTCCTGCAAAAATAGCTTGGTGTCCAACCAAAGCGCGTTCCAAAACTCATCTTCCCCTTGATTCAGCACCGTTGCCACCGCTTCACCCACAACTGGTCGAGAAAATCTCCTTTTTTTGCATGCCAGTTCGAAAAGCGCGTTGTGGTACTGTTTTCGGGAAAAAGTGGTTAACTCCCCCAAGCCTGTGCTTTCTGTACCATCAGGCTTCCAACCACCATTTTGCAAGATGCCATACGCGCGCCGAGCTTCCGCATTGAGGAATGCCTGATCTGCAACACACTCCTGTAAATCTTCCATCGGGCGACCCAACAGCATCCCTGTAATTTTGCCAACATAGGCTTCCTCTTCGTTTCCATTCTCCAGAAGAGCTTTGTAGATCTTTTCTCCATAAAGTTGTCTTTCTTCTCGTTCTTCAGAGGATAACTCTTGTATCACAAGCTCCTCATCGGATTGCTCTTCCTCCTGTTTCCAGTCCCATTGACCGTTGGAATCTCGGTACCACTGACCAACATACCATGGATTCGTCCACCACGTACTCCAGCCGCTGGGTTTCCACTTCCGCAGCGTTGAGGAAGGGTCCTCCACGTCCTCTTCCAAAACCAGAAAGGTGTCCAAGATTATGGTACCATCATCTTCCACTAGTTTCACTGTTCCATTGACAGTATCACCAAATCTGAAATGGCACGTATTGTTCCCTTCTGCAGGAATCAATACATTCAAATCACCATGGTCCAAAAAAGCTCCATACCCATTGATGCAGCGCACTAGACCCACGATCTCATCTCCCTCTTGATAGCAATGTGTCCCAGGTGATTCCAAGGCTCCCGCTCGGGGCACTTTCTTTGCTTGCTCTTCAGAAACCACCTCTGTATCATCGGCTCCTGGCGCATCCTTTGTTTTCACCTTTGAGTCACACTGCTCGTCCTGCTCCACGAGTCCCACAAGCTCATCTTTTTTGTGCTCCTGGACTTCAGGACCTCTCTTTTTCTCCGCCAAAGGCTTTGCCTCATCTGCTGTAATTCGCTCGGTGTCGACTTCCGGCGAACTTCCAGACGGCAACACTTCTCCCTTCATGGGAGTGGACCCATCATTGGAGTCCTTTGTCACACCTTCTGCAGCAGGCAAATCTTCCTCCACTGCAGGGCAATTGAGTCGATCATCCACGGCAGGCATGCTTTCTTCCACCGCAGGATCCTTTGGTTCCATGGCCTCCAAAGGAGAATTTCCACCATCATTGACCACAGCTGCCTCATTGGCTCCGGTGTAGCCCTTGTCATTTCGTTCCTCGCTGCTAACTTCAGGTTGCACCAGTGCGTCCACCTGTGAACCTCCATCATCAGCTGCTGCGGAGACCTGCGCCCCATTGTTGCAGTCGCCCGTGGAACGTAACGCCATATGCACCTCAACCCGTGCTTCCTTCGCACTCCAGGTAATATCTGGCGCATCGACCCGCGCATCATTGGCGCTCCAGGCCTCATTTTTCAGATCTTCTGTGTCTCCAGCTATTCCAGAAGCTTCTTTTTCCCTTTGAATGGCAGGAACCTTGGCACCAAACGAAGAGACCTCCTCAGTCGCAACACACGACCTTTTCCCTCCGTCTTCCAAATCTCCAGGACCACATTCCCGAACGACAGGTACCACATCCACCACTCGATCTTCTGCAGCCGACACAGTTCCGATCTCCACATTGGGAATCTTTTCTTCTGGACCTACCGATTCCACCGCTGCCACACCCTCAGAAAGTGCTCCCATTCCTTCCCGATCCAGATGTTGAGCTCCAGCGATGTCTGTTCGGTTTCCAGGAATCTCCTCCTCATCAGGAGAACCCGAGGTCGGGGCGTCACCACCAGCCCTAGGACCGCTATCCCTGATAGTAGAGGAAAAATCTTTTTCACCTAAACTATTTACACTACCCTGGAATGCCCTCGTAGACTCAGTCTTCGGAGTAGAGGATGAAGAATCCAGTGCCGCCTCCATTTCCAGCTCATTGCCCGAAGGAGACCCAACCACCTCGTCACTCTTCATCTTTTCACCTACCACCGGCAATGTCCACTTGCTTTCCTGCGTATCCAGGCAGTAATAATATTGTCTCCCATCTTCATGGAGGTGCCATTCCCACGTTGTCCCATCGCACGCTTTGATCAGATGCTCGTCTTTCCGAAAACCATCCCTTTCAGAGACCTGTCGCATCTCGTCCTCTTCTTCGGACAACTGTCGCAACCTCTCAGCCTCCATCTGTAGGATCTCCTCCTCCCCCATGGCGTATCCAGCAGCAGGTGCAGCTTCAAAGCTGTCCGCACCCTTCTGTCCATGACCGCTTCCACCACCTTGGGAACTCGAAGATGGATCCCTTTTGATCTTGTTCAGAGGCCTCCTGGCCGCTTGCAGCACTTCTCCAATCAGATCGGTCTGAGACTCTTGGTCTACCATTCGACCCGAAGTCGAAGACGACGGCTGATACCCGTGTTTGTGCAACACTCGTAAAACAGTCACCTCCATTTCACGATCTATACCACCAGTCGCGTCCCAGTTCCTTTTCTCACCAGGCTTTGGCGATACAGAAACAGCACGTCCTTCAGCTTCAGCATTGCTAACCATATCCCTATTGGGATTCATACCCACATTGGGGCTTTCTGCAACCAAGGCCTCTTCCAGATGTTCTTCAGCGCCGGGAATCACCTCTTCCAACACCGATCTTTCACCCAGAGACTCAGCTGCACCATTTCCAGCTCCACCATCTTGTCCACCATCCGAGGCAAGTTGGAGCCATCGCTTCGGAGAAGGCATTGCTTCTTGATCCCAAAAACCTTGAAAGAACACTTAACCGCAGGGAACCTAATTTGGGCTCATAACCTACGGGGGGACAACCAAGGAAGGAAATCAACTCCCCTAATCGCCCTGAACTTATATTTCCCAGATCGAACCAAGAAACAACCAAGAACACGGATAAGAGCAACAAGGAAGGGGCACCCTTACACAAGTAGAGGGGCACTAACCCAACCCTCACTCCCAAACACGGACTTTTTTCTTTGGACGGGCTGGCCATCCTTGAGCCAAACATAGTTTACGGGTTCATTAACCCTTTCAACTTCCAACACTAACTCCTTTCTACAATACCAATTGCAGCTCCGCATAGGGTTTAGGGTTTAGGGTTTAGGGTTTAGGGTTTAGGGTTTAGGGTTTAGGGGTCTAAGCCTTGTGCGGGAACCCTATAAACCCATGAGCACTACAGTTCAATCCTTTACTTAAAGCCCAAACACCCTGAACCTTAAATGCTCAACCACAGGGGTCTACGACCTGCTTCACGGGCATTGAGGTTTAGAGGGAGTCAAGGCGAACCTAGCTCGTGGTGGGATAATGTTAAAAATTTAAGTTGCTATTCCTTGTTGGATTTAAGTACCCTTAAAACAATGAAAAAACGGCTACTCAACTATGACAAAGGAAAGGGAGTTTGGGGTTTTTGGGTTTCGCCACAGTGAGATCCAAATTCTCCCGGCGAGGCTCCCTGACAATCGTGGGTCCACTGCTGGATTGAACCTTCCACCTTTCCAATCCTGCTAGGGTTTGGGTTTGGGGTTTAGGGTTTAGGGTTTAGGGTTTAGGGTTGTTTCCGGCTCGTTCATCTTGGAAGCAGCTGGAGTCGTGCCCTTAGAAAATACACATGGTGGGCTGTGATGGCAAGCAGATGGTGGGACAAACCTGACAAATCAAGACGGCGAGTTGCGATGGCCTTGGGGTACCATATATATATATATATACACACAATACATACATATATATATATATATATATAGATATTTGTGTATATACTATTTGCTTAAGAACCCCCCCCAACAAAAAAATGTTCTTCCTGATGAGGGTAATGTAGGGAATTTTGTCTTCAACTTTTTGGGGTCCGTAAGCAAATAGTATACACATATATGTGAAGCCTAAAGGGTTTAGGGTCTGAGGCTTCTAAGAGGTCTTCGGTGTAGGGCTTAGGGTATATGGTTGAAAGTTGTAAGATATTGAAGTCCCGGAAATGTTCGTGTGTGCAGGGCGCCCTTAATGGGAACCGGTCTACAGTGTATAGGGTACAGGGTATAGGGTCTAGGGTTACAAAACCTGCAAGCCAAAATTGCTTCACCTTCTTCACTCCCCCCCCCCCCCCCCGCCAAGAAAAAAAACAAAAAGTAAACCCTAAACCCTGCCCCCGCGCCCCAGGAAAAAGGCGCACGGAACGTGATGGCGCGGATGGACCTGTGCGGGAACTCGAAGGGATGGGGTTCTCGGGCTTCTTGAGGTTTAGGGTTTAGGGTTTAGGGTTTAGGGTTTAGGGTTAGGGGTAGGCTCTTGACATGATTGCTTCTGGGGGGATGCGAGGGTTTAGGGCTTAGGGGTAGGCTTTTGTCCCAGCCACTTATCGTAAGATTTGCCGAAAGAGGCCACTGAGTCTTTCGCACACTAGGTCTGCAACTGTCATCACAAAGCAAGACTCTGAAGACATGATCCCAAAACCCCTGAACTGAGATCTTAATAAGAAATCCATACTACATGACAAGTTCATGAATTTCAATGATCCTGACGGAACTAGACAATCAAGTCCATAGTCAAGAAGCAGATGAATTTAAATGTTTCAAAAAGGGAGGTGTCAGAAGCAGCATAGCAAAGTGTTCAACAACTTGCTTGGGACAGCATGTGTGGATCAAAAGGGACCCTAATGTAGAGAACTCCACACCCCCCCCCCCCCCCCCCCTCCCAAGAAAGCAACAGACGGTTTTTGCTCGCGCTCAGTCTCCGTCCTCTACGGGAAGGATATCTGCACTCAAGCCCTTGGCCTTAAGGCCAGCGCAATACCTTAGTAGCCCAAGACCATCTTATAATGAGGGGCACCCTTTTGGGGGATGGTTATGTATATAAGGGAACCCAGAAACAAAAAAAAAAAAGGTAAAGGGTACCACTGGGCTACCAAGCTTCATCCCTGAACCCCAAACACAGAACTAAACAACAAGCCCTAAACAAAAAAAACATAAAACAAACAGTTTCCACTAAAACAAGCAACCCTGAACAATAGACTTGGCTACCCTGAACCCTGAACCCTTAACCCTAAACCCTAAACCCTACACCCGAAACCTACCAAGATACATCTCAGCTGTTTCGAAGTCATAGGTGCCAACGACTGCCGTGCCCTCTGTGTGCGCCTTCATCATCACCTGCTAGAGCCAGAGTCAGCCCTGCAAAAAAAAGAATAAGGGGCCTACTCTTGGGTCCTAGTAGCCCTAAACCCTAAACCCTAAACCCTAAACCCGAAACCCTAAACCCTAAACCCTAAACCCTGAACCCTGAACCCTGAACCCTGAACCCTGAACCCTGAACCCTGAACCCTGAACCCTCACCTGATAGGCGGAGCTCTCCTTCAGGCCGCAGACGGTCATCAAGCACCTTGCCAAGAAGTCGCGCTCCAGGAACATCCTAGGCTCTCAAATATCCCAGGGGTTTAGGGTTTAGGGTTTAGGGTTTAAAAAGGTTGGAACAGGACGCATCGGGTGCGATCTTAATTAAGACGACGGGAATCAGGCTACAAAAGAGGGCGTCCAAGCATCAGGTCCCGCTTGCGAACCAACGCCTGGACGTCCTCCGTGGACCTGAACCAGCCTCTGCAGGGTTTAGGGTTTAGGGTTTAGGGTTTGGGGTTAAGGGTTTAGGGTTTAGGGTTTAGGGTTTGGGGGTTAGGGTTTGGGACCTGAGCCAGCCTCTGCCGGTTGGGTCGTGATACGACCTAGCCTTGACGTCGATATCGAAGTATTGCATTCCTAGACCCAGGAAGAGCCCTAGGAGTAAAAAAGGCTCACGCCCTAAACCCTAAACCCTAAACCCTAAACCCTAAACCCTAAATTTGGTTTTTGGGGATTATAAGGGAACCCCAACCCTGAAAAAAAGGACATCAGGGCCTACTCCGGGCCCTAGTAGCCCCAAAGCCTAAACCCTAAACCCTGTAAACCCTGTAAGCCCTAAACCCTAAAGGCCTACTTGAAGGTTCATGGTACTTAGTAACCAATCATAACTGTACTTATAACTGTCCTTATAACCATACTAGGGCAGTTAGGGGGCTTATAAGTACAGTTATAAGTACAGCTATAATTGGTTAGTAAGTACCATGAACCCCCAAGTACTCCGCGCCCTAGTAGCCCTAAAACCCTAAACCCTAAACCCTGTAAACCCTAAACCCTAAACCCTAAACCCTAAACCCTGTAAACCCTAAACCCTAAAACCTAAACCCTGTAAACCCTAAACCCTAAACCCTAAACCCTGAAGGCCTACTCCGGGCCCGAGAGTCTCCGGATCTCCAGGCGGTCGTTGACATACTCGTTGATGGCAACGCCCTCCTTCTGAAGCCGGATGTTGTCGCCATCCGTGTCGGTAAAGGACAGCAAGACTTCAGTAAACACCAGCCTAGGATGGTTTAGGGTTTAGGGTTTAGGGTTTAGAGTTTAGGGTTTAGGGTTTAGGGTTTAGGGAAGACTTCAGTAAACACCAGCCTGGGATGGCCCCCTAAAACAACCCTCCGAAAGATGTTCCTAAAAACATGATCCTCTGAAACCCCAAAAAGGTGAAAATGTAAAATGGATCCTCTTAAAACCCCCCCCCCCCCCAAAAAAAAAAAAAAAAAAAAAAAGGAAATGTCAAAACATGTCCCAAGGGTCTACCGAGCAGCAGACGATATCGGTCTGCGCGCTTCTGCCTCGCTTGGTCCTGCAAGCGCGGCACCGATACGGAGAAGGTCGGCGTCTGTGTGGACGTTTCTCCTTTACTCCCCTTAGAACCTTTAAAAACAAATATCTTGTTGGCTTATATATAAACAAAAAGGAAAAATAATTCCCAAGGGGGATATAGTCTCGCACAGGCATCTCCACGGCAAACCTTGGGGACCAAACGAACCCTTGAATTCTGCGCTTGACTTGGTCACAGCTTTGGAAGCAGTTCTTGCTAGTGCGTGGCGCGAGTGTCGTTGCTAGCCGGAAAGGGGGTTCCACACGAAAGCAAAAGGAGAAATTGCGCGAGTGCTCAGTCGCTTCAGTGTGTCCTAACTTCTGGCACGTGGCATGAGCGTAACAGGATCCCGTCTCGCGCGCACAGTGTGTCGAGAGTCGAACGAACGAGCGATATTTTTTGGTTTTCGGGTTGTGCGTGCGTGCGTGCGTGCGTGCGTGCGTGCGTGCGTGCGTGCGTGCGTGCGTGCGTGGGTGGAGGTGTGGGTGTGGGTGTGGGTGTGTAATGTGGGTGGGTGTGGGTATGGGTGTGGGTGTGAGAGAGAGAGAGAGAGAGAGCGTGTGTGAGAGAGAGAGTGAGAGTGTGTGTGGGTGGGTGGGTGTGTGGGTGTGGGTGTGGGTGTCCTTCGTAACAAGGTGGACTCTATCCGCTGAACACTATCGACCCTATAGACTCCTAAACACTAAACTCCTACTCCTAAACCCTACACCCCGAAACTCCTAAACCCTTTAACCCTAAACCCCTAAACCCCTAAACCCCTGAACCCCTAAACCCCCAAACCCCTAAACCCCTGAACCCCTGAACCCTAAACCCTAAACCCGAAATCTTTCAACCCCTAAACTCCTAAACCTCCAAACCCTAGACCCCTAAACCCTTAATCCTTCCATCCCACCACGGAACCCCTGAACCCCTAAACCCCCTAAACCTCCTTAACCCCCTAAACCCCATAAACCCCATAAACCCCCTAAACCCCCGAAACCCCCTAAACCCCCTAAACCCCCTAAACCCCCTAAGCAGCCCCCTAAACCCCCTAAGCAGCCCCCTAAACCCCCCTAAGCCCCCTAAACCCCCTAAACCCCCTAAGCCCCCTAAACCCCCTAAACCCTAAACTCTAAACCCTAAAAGCCTAAATCCCACCACGGAACCGCCGGGAGCCAGTGCGGGGAGGCTTGGAAGCGCGGCCCAGCGCGAAGCTCAGGCCGGAAGCGAGCGCCAAAGGGCACCTACTTGGAGGCATGGTGCTTCATAACCCTGGGGTTTAGGGTTTAGGGTTTAGGGTTTAGGGTTTAGGGTTTAGGGTTTAGGGTTTAGGGTTTTGGGCGATTATAACTGTACTGTATAACCCAAATATGATTACATGCGGGTTATAACTACAGTTATTATTGGGTTATCAGTACCATGAACCGCCAAGTAGTTACATGGTCCCTTAATATGAGCCTTTCAAAGGAGACCCCTTGTGTACCCCTTGTATACCCTATACGAACTGAGGGCCCATACATCAGAACCGTTTAAGGGAGGTAAGGGATACTAAGCCCTAAGCCCTAAACCCTAAGCCTTAAGCCCTAAGCCCTGAGCCCCAAACCCTAAACCCTAAACCCTAAACCCTAAACCCTAAACCCTAAACCCTAAACCCTAAACTCGCACCTCTGCTTCCAGGTCCAGGGGCCGCAGCGCCGCACCGGGGTTGCGGGAGGGCCGGCCTTAGAAGAGGGTTTAGGATTTAGGGTTTAGGGTTTAGGGTTTTAGAAATTTCGGGTTTAGGGTTTAGGATTTTAGGGGTTTAGGATTTTAGGGGTTTAGGGGTTTAGGGGTTTCGGGCTTCGGGATTCACGTAGCCCTGCGGGGCTTCTCGAATCCGGTCGAGGTGATGTGTTCTAACCCCTGAACCCGAAACCAAACCCTAAACCCTAAACCCTAAACCCTAAACCCTAAACCCTAAACCCTAAACCCTAAACCCTAAACCCTAAACCCTAAACCCTCACCCTAAACCCTAAACCCTAATCAAGCCCTAAAGCCAGAAACATCCCAACCCTCAACTCTCAGGGTAGCTACACGTCCCTTAGCATGGGCCCTTGAAAGGGGAACCCTTTGTTGGGGTTTAGGGTTTCGGGTTTAGGGGTTTAGGGGTTTCGGGGTTTAGGGGTTTAGGGGTTTAGGGGTTTAGGGGTTTAGGGGTTGAGGGGTTGAGGGGTTGAGGGGTTGAGGGGTTTAGGGGTTTAGGGTTTAGGGTTTCGGGTTCAGGGATATTATATACCCGGTATATAAAACCTACGGGCCCATACTTCGGAACACCATCGAAAGGGCCCATGAAACTAGGCCCTTAGATCAACCTAAACCCTCAACCCTATGAACCCTGAACCTTTTAGGGTTCGTTGAGCCAATTTAGTCCAGGTGCTCGACCGGACAGCCGCGCACACGCATGGCCGCATGAGGGACCAAAGGCTGGCAAGCCCTCCATGCTTGGCACTTGGTAGCCTAGAATTTGGGTTTTAGGTCTAGTTTGGGGGTTTGGGGGTTTGGGGGTTTGGGGGTTAGGGTTTCGGTTCGGGTACTTTATAAGGAAACCTGGAACCGAACAAGGTGCAAAAGGGCACCGCTGGGCTGCCAAGTGTTGGTCCGGGTACCCTTCAAAGGGTTGAGGGTTTAGTTTTCTTAGGGTTTAGTGTTTGGGGTTTAGTGTTCGGGTTTGCACTTTAAGGGTTTAGGGCTTAGGTGTTCGAAAACCAGCGGCTGGCTAACTTCAAACTTCACAATATGGCTTATAACCCCATGAACTACCCTAGAAACCTTCAACCCAGAGTGCTAAGTAGGGCTGAAGCCTCCCAAGAAAACGCCGGCCTTGCGTCCCTCGGAGCGACGGGTTCTCAGGGTTTACAGGCCTTCGAGTCGATCCCTAAACTCTAAGCCGCAGGTTTAGGGTTTTGGGGTTTGGGCTTTAGGGTTTAGGGTTTGGGGTTTAGGGTTTAGGGTTTAGGGTTTGGGGGTTTAAAGGCTTCTCCGGGGCCGTTGAAGGCTTCTATCGGGCTTGGGCTGTGCTCTCCAGGGCATTTAGGATTTCAGGGTTTAGGGTTTAGGGTTTGGCTCGTTGTCACTCAAAAGTAGACTCCAAGACTGCTGCAAGCCAGATCCAGAGTGCACTCGACATGACAGGCAGGGAAGCGCGCCTGCCACGCTTAGGGTTTAGGGTTTAGGGTTTAGGGTTTAGGGTTTAGGGTTTAGGGTTTAGGGTTTAGGGTTTAGGGTTTAGGGTTTAGGGTTTAGGGTTTAGGGTTTAGGGTTTAGGGTTTAGGGATACTATGACCCCCCTTACCTAGACCTAAGAGTACCCGAGGAATTCAAGAGCGTATCCTTCTTGGCGGCTTCAAGGCGCTCAGAAGGGAACCTGACCCCTGAATGCTAGTTACTGAACCTCCCACCCCCCCCACGCCCTGGGCCCCCTTCCTTCCCCAACAAAAAACCACCCGAAGCAAAAACCCTAGACCCTAAACCCTAAACCCTAAACCCTAATAGAACGTCCTTCGAGTCAAACCCTTATGGCTTCGCCGGCGGCGGGCGTCCCTTGACGCCTTGGAAGGTCGACCTGTCGGCCCCCTGAAGCCTCGACCCCAAGGTTTCGGGTTTCGGGTTTAGGGTTTCGGGTTTCGGGTGTCGGGTTTCGGGTTTAGGGTTTAGGGTTTAGGGGAAGCTGAACCCTAAACCCTAAACCCTCAACCCTAACCTTAGACTGCAAGGCACAGAGGTTCTCAAGCTTTAGCCGGTGAGGGGCTGAAGGTCGTTTGAGGGACGAGGGCCGGGCTGAGGGGGTTTAGGGTTTAGGGTTTGGGGTTTAGGATACATGAAAGGAATCATGGGCATTTGGAAGGGGAGTTGCTTGTGGTTGAAGGCTGTCGGGCTCGCGGGGTTTAGCCTTTGGATGCTCCCCCTTATACGCAGTCCTTCATGGGGATTAGAATAGGGGGTACTATTATCCCTGTTCAGAACTGTTAGTACAAGGGGGAACATCCCAATATAAGCGAAAGGCGCAAGCCCCTGAACCTTCAACCGCCAGATGGGGTGCAGCACCCGCCGGGCCGCACCTTCTGAGAGACCACGGGGAACGTGAGCCGTCGACCAGGCACCTTTAGAAAAGCTGCGTGTAAAAACCCAGGCACTTGGGGGTTTAGGGGTATTAAAGCTGAGGGTTTAGGGTTTAGGGCTAGGGTTTAGGGTTTAGGGTTTAGGTTTTAGGGTTTTAGGGTTCAGGGGTTTAGGGTTTAGGGGTCTAAAAGAATTAAGGTTAGGTTCAAGGTTTAGGGTTTTAGGGTGTTGAAGGTGTAGGGTCTGTAGGTGTTGGGCTTAAGGTTTATAGGGTCTGGGGGAAGGTTTCGGCGATTTAGGGGCAACCCTACACCCTACACCCCAGACCCTAAACCCCAAACCCTAAGTCCTAAACCCTAACCCCCAGATCCTTAGCCCTAAGCCCTAAACCCTGAACTCTAAACCCTAAACCCTAAACCGTTCGAGGCTGCCACCAAGATCTGTGACTCGTCAGACTTCGAGATTGCCATCACCGGCAGAGTCAACCTAGGGCTCAGGCGGTTTAACCCTAAGCCCTAAAGCCTACACCCAATACCCGAAACGTTTAGGGTTTAGGGTTTGGGTTAGCGTTTAGGAAGTTTAGGTTTTAGGGTTTAGGGTTTGGGGGGGCTTCCTCCTCTCCCCCCCTTAACATGCTAAATCCTGAAGTTGACGCCCACCATGGCTGAACCTCAAAAATTAAAATTTCCTATAGGGTTTAAGGTTTAGGGTTTAGGGTCTAGGGTTTAGGGTTTAGGGTTGCGGGGTCTGGAAAATTTAGGAGTTAAGGGTGCCAGCAAGGAGAAAGCTGAGGCTTACGAGGGATGAGACTTCTGGGGCTTCCTGGATGAATAGGAGGCTTCATAATCAAACGCGTATTTCATCCATAGATAAAAGCCGCATGTTGCCCGCAAAAACCCGTGCTCCAAATCCGGGTTCTGGGCTCCAGCCAAGAACCAAGTTTTGAGTTGGAAAACCTGGGTGACTTTCAGGAACCTACTACTTTTTTGCGGGTTTTGGAAGGTCTAGGTATAAGCCAAACCCCTAAACCCTAACCCCTAACCCCTAAACCCTAAACCCT